TGATGATTTATGAAGGAGACACTCAGTGTGGGAGGTGAGGTAGGCGATAATGGCAGAAGATTAATGGAAGAAAATTTTGGATACGCTATCTCCGTTATTATACTGTACATTTGCGACGGTAATGTAATAGAAGAAAATGATCTTATAATTAGACGTCTTATTCGAATATGACAATAGATTAGGGGTAGGAATGTTGTGCGCAGAAATGCAATAATACCCAAACAGCAACTGACTTAGCACACAAACCCAGTTCTATTTTAGGGTCTTGTTGTCTTTATCCCTAAATTCGCAAATTATGTCCATATAAGACCGGTGATAACCTTCACTCGTCATGCTGAAAATGAAACTGCCGCGGGGAAGAGACGAGACTCCTCTTGAGCGCTGCATAACAGAGACGTGACCGCTCGCCCTAGCGGCTAACGAGCCGATCAGTGCTGAAGAGGATAAAAGAAAAAAGTAAAAATAAGACACTCAAGATAAACTAGTGCGCGCCTAGGCGCTTAATTATCCATGAAACGAACAATTTCCACAAGAAATGATTATCATATCACAACTGACTGATGAAAATAATGTAAGAAAATAAACAGTAATAAAAATAACTCGTTCGCAGGTTAGAACTTTATATTAACCGATTTGTTTTATGTCTCTTTTGGTTCACTTAAATATGAAGAGTGTGAATGAGAGAATACCAAGGGTTCAGTCGGTATGAAGGATGAATTTTATGAGTTTATGTTAGTAGAACATGATCAATGGTTCATGATTCACATATGTAACGAAGGAGTTTCGGTAAAACTGCAGATTATGGCAACCAAAGAATCTGATAAAAAAAAATTCTGATGGTTTTTGATGTGATTGGTTCAAATCTGACATTTGGTTTTATCGGAAATCACTCGTTTTTAATTTACCCCCCCTCATAATAGTTCTATCGATTGCGTGTTCTGAATTCCCAGTACGGGTACTCTGTGCTTGCTAACTTATACCATATAACAAAACTAAACCTTACCTAACCCCCTACCGGGGGCTCCCCCACCCCGGACCCCCGGTGATCCTAGCCGAAGCCCCCTGACCCCCAAACGCTATGTAATAACCCTAGAGTCGTGTGGTCAGCCTCCACGAGAACACCGTATAGATAGCCGTTACAGTATTTCTACTTTACTTTGAGTCAGGGACCAGAATATGTCGTGGGTTCCTCTGTTCCCTAAAGTTTCCTCATTTTTAGAATATTGAATGCTAATTGGTTGAATCAAAAGTTGAGGTTTGTTATTGGATTTCATTGGCTGCCTCCCCCGCCCTAGATTTGTTTGGCTGCGGCTGTCCCCAAATTGATTGGCGGCTCCCCGTCGGCACATGCGCTGGAGGTAAGCGAACATACGAACACACTCAATTTGAGCAACAGCGTAGGGGCAACAGGTGCTCTGATTTTACTCTTTTTAAAATTCAATAACTTCTTATTATCAATTTGCGATGGAAGTGTAATATAAGAAAATAATCATAAAAAAATAGTTCTATTGATTGAGTGTAGTGAATTTCCGGAATTCTGTGGTTGCTGTAAACTGCAGTATTACTGGAGTTTCCCGTCTGGTTATAAAGTGTAAAGGGCAAAGTCACTTATTGTTGGTGTTAGATTACAAGATCAGTCACATTCTGAGTCCTGACCATGGCTAACCAATGCTTGGTATGCATGGCAAGAGTGCGTCCCCGACAGGAAGGACTCCAGTGCGATGGTTGCAACTTCTGGCAGCACCGGATATGTGGAACAGGCAATGCAGGCAACGGCAGTTACATCTACAGAAGAGCAGTATGAGAGGGGCTGGACATCGATTGGAGATGTCACCCGTGCTCGCAGTTATCCACAATAGATCATCATGAAGACAACCTCACTGAATTGGCAGAAACTACAGACACTGTACATATGTCATTAGCCAAGAGAAATACAGCAGTTCTCCAACCTTTGGCAGAGAGTACTAGGATTGCAGAACATCTTTGGGAAGACGCCATTATGGAAGCTAATTGTATTGCTGGAGCAACAGAGACTGCTGATGCATCTAACATCAATATCCCAGATTCCCTTCCCAGGGAAATACAGCCAAAAACTGAGAACATAACATCACGTGGTTGTTTATCAGTATTGTTTGTACATCTATGCTGCTTTTTATTATTGTACTTTTGTACTTTTATCATTTATGCAAAAATAAATGTGTAAATTTTTAAGTTCTAGTTGGTTATCCAAGATGGTCCGAGTTGGTATTTGATGGTCCGAGTTGAATGTGGGCCGAGTTGGCAATTGGCCGAGTTGGACTGTATTCATTCTTATGCATCTTGGCCATTCCGTGTTGTAAGAATTTACCATTGTTTTTAGGCTGTGGGGCTAGTATACAACTTGTGACTGTCAGCGTTTCGGTAATTATGGGGGTGTTCTTAGACACAGTTTTGTACGCTGTTTACTTTCATTTCTATTCATTTTCTTGGACAAATACTTAGTTTTCTAGATATAGGTGAGTTAAGATAAAGGTTTTCTGAGGTTTGGTTAGGTTAGCACATGATTTCAGCCATTTTTTTCCAACAATACATACAGTATCCTCTAATAAAATCAGTGAAAACTGGGTATTTTTAAACCCATTTTCAATAAAAAACATTGGGCGATCATTATTGGAATAATTACCAGCTGTGGATATGTGTCCAGTTGTGTGTTAGGGAGATTTTTGGGTAAAATTTCCATTTCGATCATCTGGGAAATCTTAGGAATTTAACTCCCACCAGAAAGGGGGGGTCTGGGCCAGTTAGGTTACATATAGTTCCTGGTTTCTGTGGCTATGTTTGGTTAGGTTAGGTTGGATATCTAAATACGCTGTACTGTTCAGGGATGACCGAAACTAAAATTTTACCCATCACTGTATTTAGATATCCAAACTCCTGGTATGTCTTTCTGGCGGTTTTTGACGTGTTTTGAATGATTTTGATCAAACCTAACCAACCTAACCTAGCCATAGAACTCAGGAACGATATCTAAACTAACCTAAATTTCTAAGATATCCAGATGACCGAAACTAAAATAGTAAAAAAAATTTAGACTAATATCAGGAGTAGTTGATGGAATTGTATGAAGATTTGTGGAAACATTATTCACAAACTATTAAATAGATAATTGGAAATAAAAATCCATTCAGTGTCATTATGTATGTTTTAAAAGGGACTGGGGGGAGTGAAAAAATAAGAGTAAAAAGAAATTTTAAATTAGAAGAGAAAAAGACGAATAATCTACACCACGAAGATGCCAAAAAACCAGCTTTATGAAGTGAGACAGATTGTAAGAAGATGGCAACACAGAAAGAAGGCACAGCATTCCACAGTTTGGTTGTGTGAGGAAAGAAGGGTGAACTATAACTGGTTATTCTAGTGTGACCGACATTCACACAGAAATGGTGGGCATCGTGGGCAAGATGAGTGTTACGAGCCCAATGTCTTGCCATTAGTACACAGGATGCCAAATCCACCAAACATTGCCCGTTAAAGTACCCATAAAAGAGAGAGAGAGTGAAGCGACACTGCAGGGAAGAGAGATTAATTATCAACTATAGGAGGAGAGTTAATAAGTAGAAATGTCTCTGATTCCACCCTATCTAACAGTTGGACAGAAGAAGAGCCGCCCCAGATATGAGAGCAGTACTCCTAGTTAGGACGAATGAATCCCTTATAAACTTGAAGCAACTGATCAGCAGTGAAGTAGCTATGCTATCTGTACAGCATTCCCTGCTTTCGGGAGACAGCTTTAGCAATGTTGTGGGTGTGTGGCTTCCATGACATATTAGAGGAAATGGTGGAAAGTGGAGAAATATCCAGTGTTGATTTTATGTGTACAGGGTATGAGAAATGTCATAAGGGAAAATAATACAGTATTTTAGTATCACTAAAAGACTGAGGTCCAGGTAAACCAGCTGCCTAACAAAAAGTGGCTATAGAAAAAAATTTATTTCTTACCTCAAGAAGAAGCCAAATGGTTGGAGGAATCGCACTTTTCATATTCCTTTCCCCCCATAGACCTTAATATAGCATAATCTACCAATCTAACCTACCGGGTACCTACCTAACCCACCTAATCAAACCTAACGTAACCTGGAAGTTTTCATGTGTGTGGAAAGGATGACGTTGGGAAACACTCGTTTGTATTGCCAAACTAATATTGGAGAAAATATTTCCACTGTATGATGATCATAGCCCAAAGATTAGCTCTCACCCGTAGCTTATTCACCTGATGATTAAACACCCTACTGTAACTCAGAGGCGGACAGGTTAAGTTAGGTAAGAGTAGATTTGATTTGGTAAAATTAGGTTGGGTTAAGTTTGTTTAGTTTAAGTTAGCATTAGGTTAAGTTAACATGGATAGTTAATATTAAGGAGGGGTGTGTAATCTTAAGGTGATCCAGGATATGGCTATTTTAATATAAAGTGAAAGAAGCATCTCAGGCTATAGCTAATGAGTCATCCAACTGACATTATGACAATTCCATATCGTAATCCTTCTTTGAGTGAGAAAGAATTTATCATCATCGGGACCAGTGTTTCCCAAACTTAGGCTCTCAAGAGTCACAGAGTTCACAAATAATTTTTCTTGGGCCGGATGTCAAGGGAGAACAAGAGAGTGGGTCATGTGTAATCGGATTACATTAATGGATTAACATCAGGTACCTGAACTGAAGTAAAGCCACTTTGACCCAGGCTTGACCTGATGACATGAGATCAACTTTGACTGCCACTCTCCAAGTCAGCCTTTCTCCCATTTCATCCCGCCTGGATCTGATACTCTCACATAAACAGCCCAAGAGTTTCACTGAGGGTCAGCTCTTTCTTGTCAAGTTGAATTGTCCTCTATTCTACCTGAAGTTTGCGTGTTATAGTTGTGTTTGAATTGTGATATAAAAACAATAAATCTTGTAATCTACTTCAATATTTAAATTTTTTTTTTATTTAGCATTTACAATGTATCAATTATAATTATCAAACAAATATTTTAAAAGTGAACTTCTGTGGTGGACCCTGACCATTTTGACACAATCCTAAATATGCACTTATGCACAGGATTGCATTTAAGAATCTCCTGGCCATATCTTCAGTTGTTACGGCAGCAACATTCTGTGTAACAGGCTTGAAGACTTGTATGCATGCATGACCATCACAAACTATCACATTACAATCCGTGAGTGAGACAAATTTGTCAAAGGCTGAAAGTCCTTCAAGGTATGGCATCATATCAGCTTTCCCCGATGAATGCATCTTCCCGTGTACAGTAAACATAATGAACAGAACTGGTACGTTTTCATAGAACATGATTCTTACTAGTGGTACCTTTCATCGTGCATTCGCTACAAGGAGATGAAGGTACAGTACAGGTACATAATTTCACCCTTCATTGTAATAAATTCATTTTTGTTTTGACCATTTTCCCCATTTCTGACATTATTTTGACTTTGGAACTTGAGAGTCTCATAGGAGCTTTCCCTCTGACAGTCCTTTTCTGGCTCTGGATCTACCAAATGTTCCCTCACAAATTTTGTCGTTAGTGAAGTTCCTTTGTCAATCACATTCAACAGACTATGTTCTATCACCTCTGGAGCAATAGCTAAGGATGCAATGTGCAGGTACACCTGATAAGTCAAAGGGATCTATGTATGATGAGTCAATCATGTTTTTTCATTTAGATTACAGTACATGTATATTTTGGTTATGTATGTTTTATGGTAGTTAATTCAATGAATGAACTTTAAAAACAAAAATTACCTATTACTGTATATTTTTTTACAAAAATATGAATTTTTTAATTAAAATCTCAGCCTGCACCAAAATAACACTTTGTAAACAATGGTTTCCAGATGTTTGGCCCCGTTGTGGGTTGATGACCCCTGCCCTAGTGGGCTATTCCCGTAAAAAAAAAAAATTGACATCCCAGTTGTGGTACCTAAAAATACTTCGATGTCTGCTGCTACAGTAGTGAATGAACAATATATGAGGGCAATGATCACAGGCAAAATACAGGTAGAGCATATAAATAATGTGGCATCCTTTTTCTACACTTCAGGCAGGCATATGTGTTGTAGAAGAAGAGGAACATTAACAAGACAACAGTGTTAGTGTCATCGAGTTAACTCAGTGACTACACGATGTTGCAGTTAACCAAAAAGTGAGTGTCAAGATGTTGTCTTTTTGTTACTTACTGATTATTTGGGTTCTGACTGGTAAATATGTAGAATGACTGAAACTTAATTACAGTATGGGATAATGGTACACTTTTCATGCAATTTTATGCTTAACAGTAGCATGATTTTTTTTTCTATATTGCACCTGGGATCTGTTTGGTTTCATATAACGCACTCAAAAAAATTATACAGTCAACCCTCGCTTTACGCGATCCCACTTTACGCGTTTACGCGGTACCCTGCCGAACACGGAATGCTCACTTTCCGTGGTGTGTGTACCCTTTTATGCGGAGAGCGGCGCGAGCAAGGTGCGCACAAGGTCGCCCAGTCATCAAAACATTACCTAGTTCTTCACCCGCCACCCGCCACAGCCGGCCCAAGTCAGTGAGAGTGATAATGATAGTGAGGATATGGACTTAAATGGACTTTGAGGGGTTTGATAAAGAGGCCCTGCAAGCCTCTGTGGTGGATAGTGATACAATTGATACAAGTAATACAGGTGAGGGCCAATAATCTCCCCTCTGCCTCGGAACCAACCCCCCATCCCCGTGTGCCCAGCCATCTTTTCTTCTAATGTAAGTGTTAAAAAACCTAATATTATTGATATTTCTCATAATTATTAATTGTGTGTGCATACCATCATAAAATTAAGAAGTTATTTTTACTACAACGTAGGTATTGTGTCTGAAAAAGTGGAGTTTGGGGGTCGGCCCGGTCTCTATTTCAATTAATCCCATATGTTATGTTGTTCACTTTACGCGTTTCTCACTTTACGCGGGCTGCCGTGGGTTCAATTGACCGCGTAAAGTGAGGGTTCACTGTATATTCTTTTCTAATGTAGATTCTTATGCTGATTCCAAAAATGTATTTTTTTTCTTTTTTTGAGAGAAATGAATAGCAAAAATATTTTAGCTCTTTAAATGTTCAACATTCTACATTGAATTGTTACGATTTTTAGCCTCAATTGCTTTAGTCTATGTTTTTCATTGCAGATCAATATGAGTGAGGAAGTAAAGACATCAAACAAACCTATGAAAATCCTAAAACTATAAGACACCTTATTCATGTTTTTGGTGTCTAGTACAGTATGTGTTGGTGTAGTTTTCGGTGTTCAGATGAGGAAGGGATCCCTGAACTTAAAAGCAATTTGAACCTTTTTTATCGATTTGGTAAGGTTTTCAAAGGTTTGTTTGGCATTCTTTTTAATAGTTTACCCCATATTGTAACATTTTAATATATGATATTGAAAGTTTAAAGGGCTATAATTTTTGGCTTTTCATTTGTCAAAAAAAAATCAATTTTTTGGAATTAGCATAAAAATCTACATTAGAAACAAATAAAAAAATTTTGTGTGCAGTACGTGAAACAGAGAAGATCCTGTACCTGGACTGTGCTGTGTAATAATAATGATAATAAAAAGGTATACCGTGATCTCCCCATTAACTGGAACAAAGGGTGCAGAGCACTTCCAGGTTTGAGAGATATCCGGGGATTAAAAATAATTTTCTTAGCCCCAAATTTTGTATCTACAGAATTTTTCCGGCCACTGGTGACTGTTTCTATGTCTAAGCTAACATGCATCTCACAAGGAGTACCGCTGCTATGGAGGCTTAGCTACAGTCGGATAGACACAGCAATTGTATTTATTTATACAAACACTACTGTACATGTACAGTACTGTATATTGTAAGTAAAAAAATATATACTGTACCACTGTACACTACACAGTAACAGTACAGTGGTCCCTCGGTTAACGAGCACAATTCGTTCCAGCAGGTTGCTCGTTAACCGAAACCATTGTTTCAATGGGTTTTTGGGTACAGTGGTCCCTCGGTTAACGAGCGCCTCGGTTAACGAGATTCCGGTTCACGAGTTTTTCGGTTAACGAGCAACCTGCTGGAACGAATTGTGCTCGTTAACCGAGGGACCACTGTAATTGGTTCCAGCTCACCGAAAATTGTCTAAATTCAACAAAAAAGGTAGAAAAGTACACTTACTTTGAGGTGTGCATGTAGAAGGCTCCTGGATGATGATGATGGGAATTAGAATGGGGTGGAGGAGAAGGAAGAAGAGAAGGCATTGGGGTGGAAGAGAAGTCACCCCATGGCACCATTTCACCCATAAAATTTTAGTTCTCTTGGTGTATTTCAAGAATATTTTCTTTAAATCAACACTGCACTGCATTAAATATTGTCAATATGTAAAATGTATTTCAAAATGACCAATAATCTGCTTGGAAACACAGAAAAAAAGCGTTTAGTTGAAGAGAGTCTCAAGCAAGATGTTACCTCCACTGAAAACAGAGAGAGACTAATGCCTGTCTGGTGTGTTAACAGGCTGGATGGCACACCAGAAACTAGTTTCTTTACCTTCAATTATGTTCAATAATTGTTAAAATGACTAAAAAAGTTAATATTAAACTTTTAAAATTATTGAATAGTATAAACTTCTTGATATTTACTAAAATAGTAAGGAATTTAAGCCTAAAACCGATTACTGTATTGGCGGACTAATACTACAGCTGGTGGACCGCCAAATGCAAGCGAAAACATGTTGAAGTCGGCTCGTAAAAAACTCGTTAATCGAGGGATTGCTCGTTAACCGAAGTTAAGAATCTTATGGAAGGTAAATCGTTAACCGAAATCTCGTTAACCGAAATCTCGTTAACCGAGGGACCACTGTACAGTGGCCTCGTGAGTTTCACAATATCTTTGTGAAACTCACGATATGTATAGTACATCAAAGGTATTTGTTGGTTCTGGTGCTCATGCCAAATTCCCCCTTTTTTGCCTTAGGACAACTCCTTAATTGCCTTAATCCTCTTAGTGTCTGTCACCTCATGTTGACTGACATCTGGTTGTCTGTACACCCTTTTGACTTAGTTAAGTTCAGGTCCAATTGTTGTTGATATTTTAATGTCATTACTGTGCTTCAACAACGAAGGTCTTTAATTGCATAACAAGTTTAGTAATACACTAGTTCAACAGCATTAAAAATTTACGAGAGATAGAACTCTCTGTGTGAGGCTCAGTTAATCTCCTGTCATATCCAGAGATGTTGATACTGTACTCAGGTCCACTGTGTACATACCTGGAGCTGGCAGACGCCTGCCCCACAAGGTGTCACAGCTCAAGGTTGAAGAAGCCACAAGTCCAGAAAACTGTGAGAGCAAATTTTTTCGGAGTGAGAATTGTGAACTCTTGGAACAACCTGCCAGAGAGTGTTGTGACGGCACTGAGTGTGAGCTGTTTCAAGACCAGACTTGATCAACACTGGAGCAGGTTCAGATACATTCAGGAGCCGGTGCATGCCCAGTACTTGCCAACAGTGCATAACAGAAATGTGACCAACCGCCCAAGCTGCTAATGAGCTGCTCAGTGGCCCCAGGCCTCGCGCTTTCCTGGTTAGTACTGTACTGTAATTATACAGTTCAAATGCAACACAAAAATTAATGGAAAAATGCTGTGTTGATAAGAAGCATTCTAGTGAAAGAATAAAATCTCTTGAGTCATCAAATGAACACTTGTTCAACTTCACTAAATGGGTGGAAGTGAAAAAAATGTTGTGTTCAGTGAATACCAAAGGTAATGTGCATGTTACAAGACTTGAATAAAGAAAAGGAACGTTGGCACTCAGTTCTAACCGGTATTATAGCAGCTGTGCAGTACCTAGCTGAGCACAACTCTGCTTTGGACAAGCTATTGAGTGTTGGAAATTCTCACGATATTGATGAAGCCGAGTTATTTTCAGAGCTTCGAGTACTCTGAGAACTCATTTCCTTAGAAACAATAAATGCACTTCAATTCCTTCAGTTTCTAAAATCTCTCATTGGTTCCTTCCCTAATGCAGAAATAGCATATTGAATTTTGTTGACGGTCACAGTGGCATCAGGGGAGTGAAGTTTTTCTAAATTCAAATTGATATAAAGCTATCTAAGGACAACTATGTCTTAAGGGAGGTTGAGTGGAATTGACTATGCTCTCCATCGAAAAGGAACTGGCTATTATGAACTGATAGAAGAGTTTGCTGGAAAGAAAGCAAAGAGGTTAATGAAAGTAGGCTGTTTCTGCTACTCCACAAATACTTGACAAGAAGTCATGAAATTTTTCATTACCTACATCCAGACTGCCTTTTGGCATTTGGCTTCTTTATGTTAAAAATCAATTTAAAATAATGTTTTATTTTCCTTATTGTTTACTCAATTTAATGAAATCCGATATAACGAACTCTTGATTTAGCAGAAGGAATTTTTTCCATTATTTTTCACTCGATTTTGTGAACTAGTTCGCTAAATCGAGATTAAGTCCATTAATACGCTCACACCTACGGAGACGCCTCAGACTCGTGATATGTACATAGAAACATTATTCATGGCTTACCTTAAACTATTGGGGTCAGTGTTTGTTTTCAATTTTTTCTATGATTTCCAAACTTTTTTCAATTGATAGCTGCACTCTTTTGACTTTCTTCCCCACACCACTTCCTTTCTGTGACTTCTGAGAGACTTGGCATGATGTCTAAGCACAGTAGTTAGTTGACCGAGGTGTAGACCGAGAGGTAGCAGTGAACAACACACGCGGTGACGGTAGGACAAAGACTGAGTGGATATAAACAAACTCCACGCACCAAGCGGCACATTTGGCGTGGAATTTAATGGAATCGGGCTCGATTTAGCGAATAACAGAAATTTTGATTTAAGGGTAAGGGGTGGCTCGAATTAGTTTGTTTAATCGAGAAAATACTGTATATGAATTTTACTAGTGTTTTTCTCAGTAGTTACAATGTATTGCTACAGTTAATAAAACTGACCCTATCTGACAGTAGGTCTACAATAGTACATCATATTCTCTTTCATTAATTATTCTGCATCATTCTTCAAGAATAAACTGCACAGTTTTGTATTTTGTACCTTATATTTGACTATTTTATTACCCAGGTTACAAGAGGGGATATCTCTTGTAAATGCCACAGATATCAGCAAAGTCAATGGAGTGATGGGACGTGTTTGTGTTGCCCTCAGCTCTGGACGCTCACAGGTCAGAAGATGGTGCAAGTACTGTACACAAAGTTTTGGTTTTTTATCCCTCACTTTTGTCAGGTTTGATGATAAATCCTGTAACTAGTGATTCAGCCCAGTATCCCAGTTAATGCATGCCTGGAGGATTTTAGGGAATTTCATTTATCATTGCTCCCACTGAGTACAGTACTGTACGGAAGCAAATTTTACTCCTCTTATTTTTTCTTTATTTCTGGTTATTTATCTATTTCTTATTCTTTTCTTTCTTATTTATTCATTTATACTTGTTTATATTTTTCTTTTCCATCTTTTCTTTCCACTTCACTCAAAGTATTTCTTTATGTTACTGTTCTCTTCTATACTTGTCTCTTATCTAGTAATATTTTGATCTAGGGCTTACTTGGGAAACACCTTGTTACCTTACAAGCTTCAATACTCACTGTGACTGCCACCACCAAGGTTTTTCTATCAGAACATACTGTATAATATAACATTAATCACTTAACCACGGTGATAGTAACAGGACGGTGGTAGCAATGTGTTGAGGGCTGGGGCATGTGGGTTTATTTAATGGTATCAAGGTATAGGGAGAAACAAAGGTAAATACTGCAGGAGAATAATACCCCCATCATACAATAAAGATAGTTTATTTAAAATTAAGTTGAATTACCAGACACTACCAGAACATACCCTGTGAATCACCCTTTGGGGTTCACTCAAGACTTGGCCAAATTTACATTAACACTTATATAACTTCAAAGACCACTTGACCTTACTTCCACATCAGCCAAACAAGTATTCCCATTAAGAGGACCAATGTTGAGTCAAAAGTACTATAGGTTACTGGTAACATTCTATGATTTTGACGTGCAACAAAGACTGGGCGTCCACTTCAATTACATTACTACTTATACAATACTAACACTTAATAGCACTCCACAAACACCCGTCACAAGATTGTTCATGTACAGTAATTATTATTACTCTCAACACTGGGGGATACAGGTTACTCAGGCATCCACAGTTATCATGACTCCATGAGTCAGTCATACAACAAGGACTGGTCGTCCGCACTTCAATTACATTACTGTACTACTTATACTAACAGGTCATAGCACTCCACAAGCACCTGTCACAAGATTGTTCATGTACAGTAATTATTATTATTCTTCACACTACTCCTTGGGTCAGTGATACCCTGTACACCTTACCTCTCATCTCTCAATAATTTTATACCTTTTTACACTCCTCAAATCACAGGATACATTGGTATTTATTTACCAGGTAGAAATCATATTCCTGAGACAACAATTACTGATACATACAAGATGTTACCACCACACGGCTTGCGCCAAGAAAGCCCTGTGTTTTGTCTACAAAAAAAGCCGGGCGTGTGCACTCTGTGACGTGGCGGATAGGTTCCGCCTCATCCTGGGTTCGACCCATGCCTCCCGTACATGGCCGCACCTGTAGGCCTATGACTTTTTGGCGCCATCAATTCAGGATCTTAATCCTGACGAATTAAAGACATCCTTCGTCAGACATCCGATTGGCAAATGGCCACTGCCTCCTGGCAGCTCCAGCAACCCACACAGAACCTGGGTGATGAGGGTAAGGGCTTCGGAGTGAATGAAATGGAAACAAAATACAAATGACACAAAACATGTCTTGTGCTAGGAAACAGATGACACACGAACAGAATTATGTTAACACACAAGCAGAGGCGTCATTTCAGGTTGGCTTGAGGGGGGGGGAGCAAAGAAGGCAGTGAGAGGCTCTTCATAAGTCAAGAGTTATTAAATGCTCCTAAAAAACTAACACAGTGTACACACAATGCACTTTATTAATATAAAAATATTTCCAAGAATGATTAAATGGTATCAGCTAGACAGGTTTATTTTTTCACTTATTTGCAGTTAGCTATCAAATTGTTAAGCAATAAGTTTTGAAATTTATATCTAATGTAGTAGAGGATATCTTCTGAATGTCATTTTTTGCAAAATCATCAATCAAAACATCAAAAATTTTGACCACTTCTTTTTCAGCAGCCATCAGAAGTAAGTCATTCAGTCAATCATCTCTCTTCATACAGTAGTTCGTAAATAGTGCTTCACCGAACCCAACACAGAAAACAATCGCTCATTACCAGCAGTGGTTACTAGAAGAGTGATGATTATTTTCTAAATTTTCAAATTTTCAGAATAAGCTAACTGTAAAGGTCCTGGCTCTTCATACAAGTGAGTCAGATTCTATGACTTTTCACTTTTGTTAGAAAAGTGTCTTTTGGCAACAGAAATTTGGGAATATAAAAGGATTTCATCCACACCCTAATTCTAAAATGTTTCTTGAATTACAGTCAAAGGACAAAATAGCTGTCAAAAGGGACATGTTTTCTCAGAAGCGCCAACCAAGATCTGAAATAAACCTGTCTAATATGGAAAAATAATCTATTTTGGCTTTCATTGCAAGAATGAAAGATGTGCTGCCAGAAACCTCAACATTACTTTCCCACTGGTTGTGTCTATGAGGAAATGTTTGAGATGTGAAGAGACCTTCTGAATTCGTTGTTATCTTCCCTCATTTTTAGCAACATTAATTCATTCCTGGTCGAGTTAATGAGAGAACATGCATCAGAAATTAGAATGTCATGTGACTAAAGCTGCTCTGACAGACTGTTGGTAGCACTAAGAATTTGTTCTACAATATGAAGATTAACAACCCAACCCCCTTGTCAGGTCCCTGTCCTTACCCTCTCAGTTGGAGGCAGGAGGACTGCAGCCCATCACAAGCACCGATACTCCGGAGCTCATTTGTTTTTAGCTTATTTACTGTGACATCAGACTTTAGTCATAGATAATCTTTTTGTCATAATTCATTGTCATTATTATTTCAATCAAATTATTCTAAAAAATTTAAAACTGTAAGCAGTTCATTATATCAGTAATCCACAAATTGTAAGGTGGCTTTTTTTTAAGAGCCTATAATTTGGCCGTGGAGGCACCCCTGGTGAGCTTGAGGGGGGTAACCGTCCCCCAAATGACGCCTCTACACACAAGACTTCAATTATGTTAACAGGAACGCTGACATATTCAACACAATTCATCGAAGTCAAATTCACTGAATAAGACGATAAGACAGTAACATACCTGGATGACGAGGGAAGGGCGTTCAAAGTGAATGATTCAAACTCCGCGCTCCCTTTTTATGCATCCTGGGTTACTATGTCGGGAATTTCACAGACATATTTATCGGTCTCATTTACTGTACACATTGGCTTATGAAAATTAGACTATGACCTTATATTAATTTTTTAAGATAAACGTTTAGATTCTAATCAGTGTTCGAGTTTTGCTATGCAAGAATTAAATTGATGTCAAGTGCTGAGGCTGGCCATCACATTGTGGGCGGAGCTTCTCACCACAATATCCATTCTACCCAGGAATCTAGTATTACCTTTCAGCTTTTCTACAATTAAACTTATTTCCTCAATATAAATGAGGATTTAAAATACAAAACTGACAGTAATTTCAATGCATTCATCAGATTCTCTGAGTTCTGTAGATCAAGGAAACACACTTCAGTTTTGAATTGCTACCCCGTAACTTCACAGGAGACACAAATTGATTCTAGCTGTGGGCTGGCCACTCAAAACTCATTGCCTTAACACCATATACTCTACACATAAAGATAGATGATGCACATACTTTTACTTCTTTTCATAATAGTAAGTGTTAGTGATCTTAGTTAAACAGTGAGAAACATGTTTATATCTTGCAAATATCCTTGGGAGATATTGTTATAAGAAGTCTTTCCTATTTACAGCTGCTGGCATGTGCATTGTGCATCCACACAGATCTGTGCAAGGGAGACCAGAGCGGACACATTTACATCGCTGTCCTCAGTCTTTCTTGCAAGAGCTCTTGGTCAGTTCTTGGCAGCTCGCTGCTATTGGTGGAAGGTCTGTCCAGTGTATTTGTCACATATCTCCTTTTTTTTTTCAGCCCCAGTTAGCAGGACTTGGAATGTCCAGTTGGGCTACTGTTGCCTGACCCCAAATCATTCCACCTTGATAGGCTGGACGCTTTACATGCTTCTTTATGGCAGACCGTGTTGGTGGAATTGCATTATATGATCTCTGTTTGCGAGCAAATGAATCAAGTCTTGCACCATTGACACATCCATCATCCATTGTCTTTTAGAGTAAAGAACTGGTAATAGCTGTGTCTGGCTTGGTGGCAGTGAAGAATTTTTTATGATTTGTGTTGGAGGAACATTAGTGAAAGAGTCTGGAAGTTCAGGAACATTTTCACTGGAAGTGGCTCACGTTCCTCACCAAGATTGTTAAAGCTCAGGTGCTGGGGAACAGAGATACTGGTATGATGGAAATGTGTGTGTGCTGTAGTTGCAGTTGGGTTATGATTTATGTTTTCTACTGCAGCAAAAAGATGCTTTCTCAAAACAGGTGGGCACACAATTCCATCTTCTACATACTGGGAAACAACAGCATCACCAAGTTGGGCAGATATTTCTAGAACCCTATCATAGGAAATGTAAATACCTTGCTCATGGAGCATGTCAATAAGTAATCTTTTCCTCGTCTTTGCAAATGCAGACATGGCAATATAGTACACATCTAATGGGGTCTTGCTTTGCCCTACACCTAGCCCAATCATTCATCCAGTATCATTTAAGTCCATTGCGATCTGTTCACCATCCGGATAACTTTAACCCCATTATCCTTGGCTCGGCTTTTCCATGCTTGCACATCCTTTCTACTCAGGTGTGGTTACTTAACTTTATTTGAGGCTGATTAGGTAACATTTGGGACACTAAGTATTACTTGTGTATACCTGTACTGCATATTAATCTTTACTATGAGTTTCATACTTAGCTGACACGTGAACCCCCATGCTGTGTTTCACAGCAGTGTTGTCACCAGTGTGCCCTGGTGACATTCACTCTCTATAAGCATGTCTCATTTTAATGTTATTTATTTCAGAGTTTTAAACACAGAATCCAAATTCTACATATTCAAAAACACGGAAATCATCACTGGAATCAACTGAATTAATGAACACAATAATTTTTATTCCATTAAGGAAATTCTGACATCCACATTTGGTGGCCATTTTGGAAAATGTCGCTATCCTGGAATTTTGAATATTCAATCAGATAGATTTGATAATTAACCCATATTGAAACTTCATATAAATTTTTATACTTGTACAGGTATATCACCACTTTATACTTGTAAATCACCATTTGTTTATGGAGACAATAGCAGGGGAATTGAAGGCATGGATGAAGAGGGCAAGAGTGAGTCTGGAGCTGGAAGGTGGGGTGTGGCTACTAATAATATGTCTTGTGTGGATGTGCTTTTTGCATAGAGTGAACAGGAACCAAAAAAGATGGTCAACAACTTTGACATATGTGTGATAGAAGCAAGTTGAGGGTAAATGCTGATAAGATTAAGATAAGGATTCTGAGGGAAAATTGTCATAATGGACTTTGCAAAACTATACAAAACTGAAAAATCTAACTAACAAATGAAAAATTATACTGAAGATGAGATACTGGAGGAGGTTAAAGATGACAAGTACAGTATTGGTAGTGATGTTCATTAAGAAGAATATAACGGAGATTAATTTAGGGATAAAACAAAGGGAACTATAGGGTTGCTCTCCATCTGTCTTCAGTTTTCCTTTATTGCACATTACACAGAAACCACCAAAGTTTATCAGACTTGACACAACCTTAGAGGATTATAATGAGTCTTCTTTTTGTGGTAGATGAGAAATGATTAACTGGTAGACACTAGCAGAGGAAAGCTTGTTATATTTGCTAATACTTTACAGTACAGTACTGTACAATGAAGACAGTTGATGGCTGTTACTCTATACAGTATATTATCTCTGGTTCATTGACACAGGAGGAAGTGGAAATGTTAGGTATGCACAAATTGCTTGGAGAAAGTTCCTCAAGTTTCTCCCTACTACTGTAAATACAGAAACGTAACACATATGTTAAGGATAATTTTCAGCTACCACTTATCTTTAACAGCACAGTAATTCATGTTTTCTCATTTAGTAGTTTCAATAACCAGTAAAACTTATTATTCTAATGATATTTTGAAAAATATATTTACAGGTGTTTACTGAAGAAGAAGAGGAGAAACTTAGTGTATCGCTGGGTCACACCCGGGACCAGACCAGGCAGCTCATCCACACTATCCTGCACATCATTCAGCAAGTAAACATGGAGTACTGTATAGAGTCTAATGATAAACTATACATGGGAAGCAACTGAAATCAAACTCAAACCTCACATTCAGCTTCTTGCTCACACATAGTTATTTTGTTTTGCTCAACTACTTTAAGGGATACATTCATGTCGCATCTTACGTGCATTTAACTGCTACACACTCGACTTTTCTCACTTGGCTTAGGAAAAAAAAACGGCTGGGGGAGATACTTCCACCTGCTCCTCTCTCAGCCTCAGTTGCCACGTGTACTCAGCAGGGGAGGAGGTTTGGGTTGTGTGCCTCTGCCAACTGACCCTTAGCAACAGTTACTAAGGGTCAGTCGGCAGAAAACGCATATCAGCTGAGTTGTGATGCAATGTGTGTGCATTATCTTGTATAATTTTTGCTTTTTTATGTTTTCATTATTTTTCCTAAATATTCTCTGCTGAAATCAACTTGACAATCAGTGGCAAAGAGGATAAAGTAAACTTACAGCAGAGGTGGTTGTGTGGTGGGCATTTAAACTGAAATAGGCCTAACTAGCCGAGTCACCAGATGTGCGATTGACAAACTACTCACTGCTTCCACACTTACGATCACCTCCCACACAAAATACACACTCATGCTCTTTATATTCCTATTTTATAATTTATATATTATATTTTCTTTATTTCTAAATCACATTACAGTATACTGTATATTGAAATAATTTTTCCAAAACTTTTATAGTTTCATTAGTATATGTAACAATGGCAACATGCATTACCATCTTTCATAGGCCACAGCTGACTGGTATGTGTTATGTTTTGAATTGTGCATATCATACTGTTATACTATTCATGTACAGTCCCCTTCACTAGTGCATTTACAGGGGCTTATCATAAAAACATTCCACAAATCATTACATCGACATACTTGTTTCAATATTGTTTTACTTTAATTCCATAGAATGTTTACTATTGCGAGTTTCCTTCTGTTGAATGTAAACAAACACAGGATTGCCACACTGCACAAAACCTGATGCACTTGTGAAGGGGACTGTACATATGTTTCAACAGCATAAAAATTTTAATTATTTCTGGCAGCATTAATGGTAGTTTTATTTTCTGTTTCAAGCTTAATACCGGTACCACTTTTTATGACACAGCAATAAAAATTTTATGTAGAGTGAACTGGTCATTGTCCCCCCCTCATACACACACTACTAATTACTACTTTGCTGTCACTCGGAATCGAGTATGACGATCATCCAGCTATGATACAGTACTATGAGTTATTAAGGATGTCACCTTCTTTGGTGAGCTCTGAGGTGACTCGAAAGGCCGATACGGGATCAGCAGGGCTGTCCACAAATGTTGCACATATGGAGGGCTACATCTAGTGCAGTAGGGGCGGAGACAGTGTCTTTCCGGTGCTGGCATTTAATAATAATAATAATAATAATAATAATAATTAACGGTTTATTGAAAGAGCTTGACCCAGAAGGCTGAAAATATACAGTTACATAATTGGGGAATGGGTTTCAAATTTCAAATAATATACAAATAACATAAGTGATATAAATAAGATATATAATAACTAGATGGAGAAAAGCTCAAACTACAGGAATTTCAGCATAGTGACAGTGCAAGAAATATTTACTGAGTGAATACACTGGTTTATTACAAGTTATTGATAATTTTGCAAATGGTTGAGACTGGGCTGTTCTTATAGCATTTGTCTGCCTCAGTATCTGTGGAGCTAACTTGAAAGTATTGACACCTCATGTGGTGCTCCTCCAAGCACTATGGTGTGGAGTGATCGTCTCCCAGGTGAAGGGGCCAATTTGGCACTTTTCCGAGTCTGTTTTAAGACTATCCTTATACCTTTTCCGTTGTCTGCCAGTGTTACATTTACCATTCATTAGGTAACTTTAAAGTAACTGCTTTGACAGTCTACTGTCGTCCATGCGGATATGGCCAGTCCAACATACTGTACAGTAGTTGTTCATGAATAATGGTAGCCTCAATGCTCCTACAGTTGGTGTCAGCGAGAATACTGGCATTTGTTCTCTTGTCTTCCCAGCGAACTCTGAGGATGGAACGTAGATTATGTTGGTGAAAGTTTTCAAAAGCCTTGAGGGGCCTCCTGTATGTGAACCATGTCTTGCTGCCATACAGCAGGGTGAGGAGAACCACTAACACACACACACATGCTCTGCATTTATTTGTGTTTGTAGTTTTATATTATATTTTCTTTATTTATAAGCAACATTGTAGTAAAGACATATATGAACATGTACTTTATTGGTGATTTAAGGGATTTTCAGGGTAATTTTGACTGCAGCTGCTCCGACTTACGACCTATGACTTCGTCCACACCGCGCCGTACCTCAGTCGCACCAAAATTTGGTCATATTACGTATTTGAGTCCCAAAGTCAGTACACAGACAAAATTTTCATCTGTAATTCACTTTAAAATGGCTGCAAGCTTAAAAGTGAGTGTATTGTGGTGCTGAGAAAAAAGACCTCCATTTTAGATTTCTATTTATTATTTAAGCATTTCCGACTTACAACCATTTCGACTTACGACCTGGATGTGGGTCCCTAACCCGTTGTTAGTCGGGGGTAGCTGTTACGTTTTTATTTCTGGCGCCCTCTTCAGAGCGTAATCCACATAAGATCTGAAATGTCTGTACATGCTGTATTTATTTTGATGAAAATATTACATTGTATCAGGACTTTGACAAAGAAAAATAATTTATGGTAGGGAATGGGAAAATTGAACAGTTGAAAATTTTTGTTATGAGGAACTAAGTTGTGATGGGAAAGACATTAAAACAAGAATAGCTCGGGCAAAACAGTACTTAATAATCTTAGAGATCTGTTACTAAGAGATGATAATTTTAGTTGGAGAAAGAGCATGCTGAAATATGTCTGGGCAGTCTTATGTCTTCCTTTGTTGTCTGTTACCTGCAGGCTGCACATGGAGTAAACGTCCAGCTGTCCTAGGGGAACACGCTGCTGGCATTACTCATGATAGAGTTGAGATCTTCACTGAACATTGGACAACAAATGCCAAGCCCATTGTTGATAAGCTTCGACAGCAGAGCCTTTCAGAAAAACAGGTCTGTTATTCAAGGTTTCTGGCCAAGAACATATTACGTATATAAGTTTGTTTTTATTTCTCAATCCCTCTGTACAAAACCAAGCTATGAAAATGAAGTCCAGAATTTCAAACCTCTTTTATGCATAATAATAATAAAAAAAAAATTAACAGCTCGAAGATGTTGGAGAACTGCACCTTCAGACAGCTTCCTCATGTATGGCTCGGCAGTCACACCCTATAGCTCACCTGCAGCTTAATCTGAGGTATGTTTCTATTTCTTTAACCGTGTCTTTTTAGTGCATCTCATGAATATAACCACCCAAGGAAACCTTAACCTGTGGCAGCTTGGACTAAAATGAAGGTCAGATGTCACCCTTGCTGCAACCCAAGACTTTTAAATAAGAGATGTTAAGAAACTGCATTTACCTTAAAATTGGTACCAAATGAATAGTGATTAGCATACAGGAAAAGTTAAGTGTAGACTATATTTTACCTTATGCATGTGAGGAATTTGAGTTGGTTTACTTAGTGCTAGGTGTTGAATTTAAGATAAGAGTGTGTTTACCCTTCATTTTGTAAGTATTTCCATGAGAAGGTAGCAAAGGTGGCAGTGAAAAGTCATCTTTTTTATTTAGAATGCATTTATCAATAATGAAATATTAAAACCATATGAAGATTTTTCCTTATACAGTATGTGTGGGTGTTGGTGAGACAGACATTCATATATGTAGGTGTTGGTGAGTCAGATGTTCAATTGTGTGGCTGTTGGTGAGTTAGATGTTTCATTGTGTGGCTGTTGGTGAGTCAGACATTCATATATGTGGGTGTTGGTGAGTCAAATGTTCAATGGTGTTGGCGTGTAAGATGTTCAATTGTGTGGGTGTTAGTGAATCAGATGTTCAATTGTGTGGGTGTTGGCGAGTCAGACATTCATATATGGGGTGTTGGTAGACTTATATTCGATTGTATGGGTGTTGGTGAGTCAGATGTTCAATTGTGTTGGTGTTGGCGAGTCAGATGTTCAATTGTGTGGGTGTTAGAGTCAGATGTTCAATTGTGTGGGTGTTAGTGAGTCAGATGTTCAATTGTGTGGGTGTTAGTGAGTCAGATGTTCAATTGTGTTGGTGGGTCAGGTACTCATATTTTGGGGACTAGCTGTATTTATTTACTTTTTTAATTTGATATGGATGAAACAGGATACTCTAAATGTTCATAAAATGGTTGCCAGAGTTGTAAAGTAACTGAATAAATTTACTCGAGTACTGTATTCAAGTTCCATTATAGCACCTTGACCACCCACCTCACCTAGCCTACCCTCTAGTCCCCCTTCCCATTGAATTCCCCCACCTTTCCTTCAGCAGCTTGGTCTTCCCGTAAAGACATCATTTGCTTTGCATATACCTGTACCTAAAATGAATTTCAAAGAGGCTGAGACTGAGTGAGTGTATTTAAAATTGTCCTTAAATAACTAAGTACCACACACCCCACCCCCAGTACCAAATGTTGCAAAAATTCAATTGAAGGAGCTTGATAGCTACTTGGCATGCCCAGGGGATGGAATGGAGCTACTGAGGTCTTTCCCAACATTATGTTACTTACCTCTCAAGCTTAGCACCTGTGTCTGTGGCTTGTTAGCATTTGTTTAGTCATGCTGGGCTTATTATTTATTATTTAATTAATTTATCACACCCCAGGGGGCAACAAGACTAGTCACAAGATGATGCGGTCAGACACTAATACATTGGTACTCGTGTCTTGTAGGACAAGCTATGACTTGTTATACAGAGACAATATTGATTTGATTTAAAGACAGTGGGAGTTAGCACCCACCAAAGCATGGGTAACATACAAGAATTAAATCTACATTATTACAAATAAGTAGGTGGTGACATATAGTGGTTAGTGACTCGTCCTGTGGTAGGAGGTCCCTGACAGTGGGACAGTCAAGGCAATACAGTAGTTTTAAAGGATGTTAGCATTGGGACAGTTACAGAGTTTACAGGAAGAGAAGTGCAGGTTATCCCCCCGCCTCAGATACTCGCCAGATAGGTCTGTATCCTAACCTAATGCGAGCAGAGACAACATTATGTCTGCGGACCATAAGTCCACGTTGACGTCATGATGGGCTTATATTTAGGCCTAAAAGATCCTGATTGGACAGCCATAATTTCAAGAATCTGTTATTGATTAATTTCAATAGAAATATTTGCAAATAAACATGTGTAATGCTATGTATCTTTTATTTTTATCTTGAGTTTACTTCTTTGTTTTTATACTGTAATATACATACTGTAGATTTTTTTTAATATTACTACAATTAATAATGTTATTGTTACTTTTTATTTTCAGTACGTAAGTGCTTTTTGAATGAGATACTTTTTTTCACTTCTACTGACATTTTGCCAATGTAACAATACTTTACTTAAGTAGCGAAGTCTGGTACCTTTTACAGGTTGACAATCCCTTATCCGAACTCCTAGGGGCCAGAGGCATTTCGGATTTCGGAATTTTTCGGTTTTCAGAATGGTTAGTTTTTTTTTTTTTTTTTTAATGTGTATTAGCCCACCTAGGCACAAGTCACTGACCCACATTGGGGCCTGAGGGGCGAAAATGTAATAACAATTATATTAATAATACTAATAATTCATAGGTCTAGGTCGTGTTTCTCACTTTTTTATCTTTTTTCATTCTTGTATATCTTTATTATTATTATTATTATTTTATTAATACAGTATTATTGTTATTATTATTATTATAAATTTTATTATTATATTTTTTTATTATTGTTATCATTATTATTTTATTTTGGTGTATTTTTTAATTAAAATTTTTATTTACTATGAATAAATATTATTATAATTATTATTACAGTATTATTATAATAATAATTAGTATTACTATTACATTTTCGCCCCCCAGGCCCCGATGTGGGTCAGTGATCTATGCCTGGGTGGGCTAATCCCTGTAAAAAAAAAAAAAAAAAAAAATTGCTCCACAAAAAAACTTTCGGTTTTCAGAGCTTTTCAGTTTTCGGAATTTCGGATAAAGGGTTGTCAACCTGTACAACTCTGATGGTTGCTAATTTATACCCAGGCAACATTCCCCTGAAAAACCCAAAATTCAGAAAACCCAGACTCCTCTTCTCCACACAGTCCAGTTTAGCAGGGATTTATTGCACAAGCTCCCAGAATGACCTGCTTCTGCTACTGTTACATTACTTACTCATATAAACCTTTCCACATGATCCACATTCTGTACAGGTGAACCCTCCTACACTTTACACTTTTGCAATGGGTAACCCCTTTTGCTCATCCATGCCTGGCTCTTTATTCTCAAGTATGATCCTCTGTTTGTACAGGATTTTCACATATGACCTTTCACCAATGATCTGCACTTCTCATAAAGGCACTCACTTATTCTAATGGTTGTCACTTTTCCCACACAGCTCTCGTAGTGATGCAGGAAAACTAGCAAGCACAGAGAAAGTGGTGATGCAGTTTGATCGTGACCAGCTGTACAACCTTTATGATCAGCTGGAGCAAATACAGTCACACCTCGATGCTCTAAGATAAAGTAGAGGAATTTAATGGTTTAATATTTATGTTTGGCTACAAATTATATTGCAGCCTCATGTATTTTAAATGTACAATTTAAGTGTGGTAACCAGAATTTGTTTTATTTACTTTTGATCAGTAAACTAATTGATTTGATATGATGAGTTCATAGTAATATTTTCAACATTAATAATTGAATTTAAGTATTGTACCAGAGTACAGTATTGACATTTATATCATGGTAAACATGATATTTGGTACTGTAATTGTGTAGTTGTGTTACAGGTTGTACCTCTCTAGTCCGGCATTCTGTGGTCCAGAAACTCCCGTGGTTCGGCACGATTTTAGTTTGTCCAACAGGTACCGTATACCTCGGCCTACAAGACCAAATTTGAACCCAAAAAAAATCAGCCCAAAGTTAGGGGGTCGTCTTCAGCACCAGAGATAAAATTCTTACCTCTTAAATATTGCAGTTTAACGTGTCAAGTGTGGTGATGGAAACATGGTAAACCACTCACAAAGTCCTACCACTAATTATTTTATATTGAAACTTACGTTTGGGAAACTGGATTAAAATGAAGATTCCCGGTATATTAAAATAATAAAAATGTATTATAAACCAGTCTAACATACCGTAAAAGAACAATATACCCCGGTAATAAACACAGCTGCTATCATCACCCCCCCCCCCCCCCCATTTGCCAGTGACAAGAAAGGGAAAGTGACCTTGACTGTGACCGCCTGTGGCTATTTTTAGCCGTCCTTGTGTTCGGAGGTGGTCAGTAATGTATCTATATTTACAGTCATAATACTTATCTCCTAAATAATTAATTTAAAATTATTTTTTTATAAGAATATTCAAGTAAATGACTGATTAATTCTTGAAACTACCGACAGTGGTAAATTTAGGATGAGAATGATTAATAGAAGTCCGTCATGGATTAGAGTTTGGTCATAATGATCACCATAAATGTCTGGTCAACTTCACTACCAGTTATAATGGTATGCCCTTTTTAGAAACAAATATATAAATTAAAAGAAAATACTTGCAATTACGTTTAATGTATTACAGTATATATAAATAAATAAATAAACAAATAAATCAACAAATCTATTTCCAAGTACAAGTGAAATATTTATACACCAACATAAGTTCCAATTAAATAACTGCTGTAGGGAGTCACTAGTGTACACCAGCGGTAAAATTTGATGCCAATACTTGAAAGTGAATTGGCATTATTTTAAATAACTAACCGAAATAAATGGAAAAAAGATCAAGGTGAAAACCATTATATTGAATAGAATTTAATGTTGTCAAGGAGAGAAACAATTAAAACTCTGCAATTGGCGTAAATGAGCAGAAAGATAATTAGCAGCCAAAGACTTGGTCACAATTTTAGAAATGCCATATGGAATCGGATCTACCATTAGACAATACAGACATTATGTACAATACTCCCACAGTAGAATCTCCTGTTTATTAGCTGCCTAAAACTTTTAATAATAACCGAACATTTCGCGGCGAATGACAAACAAAATACAAACAAGTTATTTACCAGACCTTCTCTCAGAACAGGGTAACAGATGGAAGTGAAAAGGACGCTATTTATAGCCTGTCATGTAACTGAGAAGTCGACCACACTAAAATAATTCATTTACAAATTATATTTTTGCATAGAATATTCAGTCCCATGACTACGATTATAAAATATTGACAATATACAGTATATTAGGGAAAGTGAAATTTTGCTCAAGCTGCACTCTTCCAGGCATTATTCCTTAACATATCCTAAGAATCCATGCAATTTGAAAGCTGATATGTCAAATTTAGTCTGCATTTTCTGAAATTTTTAAATTTACCTACAGTACTAGCAAACACCGTATTACTGCAATATTCTATTCAGCTTATCAACTTTTTTCATATCCTCCTTATTTCATTTAAGTTGTCTTTTTGCAGATACATTTACATCTCTATATTGATTATCAGCCTTTCTCATTTCATTTCTCAATGTTGTATTTACTGTACTGTAATCTAAGGGAACCTGGTAAGTTAGGCGCACGAAATTATTCAAATAATTACGTTAAGCAAGTTCACAGCAGGATCACACGTCATAATCACTCACCCGCAACAGTCATTCTGAAGAAGACAAAATGGAGTTAGAGGATGATGGTGAAGATCATTATGTCATCATGGTTGAACCTGGCAATGAATATCTCACATGTGACTCCCAAGACTGACCACCACGAGAAAGCAGATTGCCAAAACTATTCACAGTTTCTGGTGAGAAAAATCTAACCCAACAGCCCATTTGTTTGTTTATTTGTGATGGAACCAATGAAATATAAGATCAGAAAATTAATTCATCATCTTGAAATACTTACTTGGTCACGCTCCACATTATTTCATATGTCAGCTTCACGAAACGACTACCTTTCAACGATTTTTATCACTATGATGGTAAACCAAGTGGTCCTGAGCATTAGCGTGGTCCCCATTGAAAAGCAAGATCAAGGTCTTTCTCCAAACTTCCAGTTAACCGCCTTCACAAGTCAGTTCCCTGATTTTCCTGTTTTTATGATGAAGTGGGAAAGATCTGTCCTGGGATCAGAAATACCTGTATACAGGATTTGTAAAGAGGTTATCACAGGTGTTGTTGAATGACTTGGCTGCTGAAGGCCAGGTCCTCCTGTGTCAAGGTGGAACACCTTATGGATAGAATCCTCAGGCTGTAACTAGCAACATCAAG